AAAAAAAAAAAAGCCCTGGTGGGGCAAAGGGTTAAAGCACAGCACTGTGAAGCTGTCCAGCTGTCCTCAGGCACAGGGAGCTGACCGCACGGCACAGCAGACCTCTTTGGTCTCCCACGCTGCTCCCCTCGTAGCGTATTCCTCTCACCCTTCCCACCCCGCACCTCTGGCCTATACTTCCAGTTCTTGTATGAAATAAATAGATCTTTAAAAAATAAAATAAAACAGAAGCCCACATTCCATTAACAATGTGCCCCTCACCCGACACCTGTGCATACTCACCGTTCCTCCATGAGTTCCCGGATGGAGGCGACCGTGGGGCCAGATCCTAGGTGAGTGTAATATGGACCTTCATCTTTCTCCACTATTTGTTCTGTGGAAACACAGAGTAAACATTATTTGGAGGCATCACTTCAACAAAAGGCAAACCCCCAACAGGAAAATTAATTAGCACATTACAAAACAAAATCTAAATGACTTATTTAGACATGTGAAACTATGCTCAGCACCCTGAGAGATAAGAACATAAAAATTAAACTAAAAGTACAGTGAAATACCGTTACAACCAGACCAAAAACATACAAAAATCTGAAACATGATAAAATCAAGAGCTGTCAAGAAAGTGGCGTAACTATTTTGGAATTCAGTTTCCCGTTATACAGATCCCAGACGCAGGGCAGAAAATCACTTGGCTCCTAAGTATACACCCAAAGCATTAGAAACAAAGGTTCAGCTACTTGCAGGCTAACAGTCATAGCAGCATTAGACCCAAACAGGTGAAAACAACATAAACGAGTATTAATAAAATGTGGCATAGCCACACAATAGATTATTGAACCATAAAAAGGAATGAAGTGCTGATACACGTGTAAGCAGTACGATTGCAAACATCATGCTACGTGAAATAAGCCAGACACAGAAGGACAAATACTACATGATTCCACTTACATGAAATAATCTAGAATAGGTGGATTCATAGCATTAAAAAGGAGATCAGCAATGACTAGGGGCTGAGGCAGGAGCCAATACTTAATATGCTATGTCTGGAGTAATGGGGACATGGAAACCAAGCAGTGATGGTCGAAAACTGTGCAGGCACGTGATGTTACCAAACAGACTCAAAGTGGTCAGTAAACACAACTTTTTTTTTTTTATTTGCATCTCCCTTATTACAAGTGATGCTGAATATTTTTTCATATGCTTGTTGGCCGTCTGCATTTCCTCTTTGGAGAAGAGTCTTTTAGCCCTTCTGCCCATTTTCTTTAATATAATAGTTTATTTTTACATCATTTTGTGCCTTTTTCCATCTTAGCTGTAATTCCCGTGGACTTCCCATCACCAAATCACCTGTGTGTCCAGTGCACTTCGCCTCCCGCCCCATTTTTATCCCATTCCCCACTCCACCACTGTAAAATGTCTCTGCTATATGGTAGTTCATTATTATTATTATTCCCCCCACCCCCGGTCTTTATACTCCTGCTATGAGTGAAACCATCCAGTATTTTTCTTTTTCTTTCTGGCTTATTTCACTAAGCAGTTCCATCCATGTTGCTGCAAAAGGCATGTGTTTATCTTTTTTGATTGCTGAGTAATATTCCATTGTGTATATGTACCACATCTTTTTAATCCAGTCATCAGCTACTTTTGGGCATTTGGGTTGATTCCATGTCTTTCCTATTGTAAGTAAAGCAGCAATAAACGTGGGGGGCAGGTAACACAACAACCTTTATGCTATATCTGTTTCAGCACAATTTGGGGTACACAGGGAGGATGCACCCCAAGAACACCCTAAGTGAAGTCACACACGGAAGGTGACATGCGGTGCGATGTGGCTGCGTTCACACACAGCATTCAAAACCCACAAACCCACAGAAACAACAAGTAGACTGGAGGCTGCCAGAGGCTGGGAGGAGGGAAGAATGGAAAATAACTGCTTAATGGGTTTGTTTTGGAGTGATGAAAGTGCTTTGGAACTAGACAGAGGTGGTGGTTGCACAATACTGTGAATGTACTAACTACAACTGAACTGTTCATTTAATACAGCCATGTTTTTGTATGTCAAGTTCAGCACCATTAAAAAAAATAAAAGGAACACTTTTGATTCACATAACATGCATGGATTTCAAATGAATTTTTCTAAGTGAAAGAAGTAAGACCCCAAAGATTATATAATAGTAATTTTGGAAAACAGTGTCTTGTCTGGATACCATAAAGCTAAAAACAAAAATCTTTAAACAAATACTGTACTCCAGTTGTCAAGTTTGCTTCATGTCTAAGGAAACATGCATTTAGGACAACTAAATGCAAGGTGTATCCTATTACAAACAAAGGACACAAGTGGAAAATTTGAGAAAACCCAGAGTCTGTTACAACTACTGCACCAACATTAGCTTCTAAGCTTTAAATGTGTCATAATTACATAAGACAGCTGCACTAGGGAAAGTTGAATAAAGGCTATACAGAAAGTGTCTGTACCAACTCTGCAACTCTACAGACAAAGTTACTTCAAAATATGAAGATTTTTTAAAAAAATACAAACAAACCCAGAAACTGGGCAGTGGGCCCTCTGCTAACCCTGTCCTAGAAGAAACTCAGTCGTATATCTACAAGGATTTTACAGCAGCAGTATTATTTACAACAGTCAAAACTGGAAACAACCCATAAGCCAGCAACAGTGGAATGGATGGATAATTCAGCAAAGTCATATAATGAGGCCCAGCAGCAGTGACAACTGACGAATAGCATGGTTGAATACATCATGGTGAGTGAAAAGCAGCATAGTACAGAACAAATAGAGCAAGATTCCATCTTAGGGTCTTCCTGGTGGTGTTCAGGTTAAGTCTCAGTGCTGTCTGCTAGATGAAGTGAGTTCAATCACGGGCTATAGAGCTGACCCACATGGCCTGGCAGCCCTCTCCTGTCTTGCCTGCTGCTCCCCTCAGCAGTGTATTTCAGTCAATCCACCTGTTCTATTCTCCACTTTGTCACTGGTGAATCTGTTCACCTCCTGCCCCATACCACCACCTATACCCCAGTTCTTGCATGCATGCATGCATAAATAAAAATAAATCTTAAAAAAAGTTTTTAAAAAATTCTATCTTAATAGTATTCAAAAACAGGCTCAAACAAACTATCTTTTGGAGGTACTTAGTAAAAGCAAGGTTGAAATATGAAAATGCAGATATTTAATGGATTTTTTTTAACCTACAAAAATGTTGACTTCCTGTGGTTCAATGTTAATATAAAGAAAAGCAAAGAAACCATTGTGACAAGAGAATGGTTACCTCTGGGAGATGGGAGAGGAAGGTGGCTGGGAAGGGCCCCAGGGAACTAGCAGGGTGCTGGAATGACTGACCCCTCTTGATGCGGGTGCTGGTTATACCGGTGCCCAGTATAGATCCCACCACACTACATGAGTGTCCTGTGCAGTTTCTACATACATGACTTTCAAAATATAAAAAAGTAAATGCTATATCCTTTTATGTAGACTGTATTCTGCTTTATAGGGGTAAAACACAGGGTAATAGCTGACTGTCGCCTTTAAAAAGTGTACAATCTTGGGCCCTCCCTGGTGGCGCAGAGGGTTAAGGCACAGCACCAAGGAGCTAAAGCCACTTCCACACGAGTTCCATCCCAGGCCCCGGAGGTGACCACATGGCGCGGGAGACCTCTCCTGACCCGCCCGCTGCTCCCCTCAGCAGTGTACTTCGTCGATCTGCTCCCCTGTTCTGCTCCTCGCTCTGTCTCTGGTGAAGCCTCTCACTGCCCCTGCACCCCTAGCCTGTACCCCGGTTCTGTGTGCACAAATAAATCTTAAAAAAAAAAAAAAAAGTGTATGATCTAGCTGAGTAGGTAAGAACCCTCACCCAAGAAGATAACCTTGTGGCGTTTCACATCAATGCAGAAAAGATTAGATTTTTCAATGAATGTTGTTGGGATGACTGGGGAAAAAATGTGATGTACATGTACTATCTTATTTCTAAATACATTCATTGCAAGAAGTTGAAAAAGATATCAGTACCAGAAATTAAGCTACAGAACTTTTGAAAGAATTGAAGATATAATAATTAAAAATCAGCATGGAGAGGAAGTCCTCGCAAGTGCAATCTCTTTCTCTCACACACACATACCTGTGATTTAACTGAAAATTAAAAATTTAACTGAAAAAAATTTTGTATTAGAAACTACCAAAAAAAAAAAAATCAAAAACAAAACAAACCATCAAACCAAAAGATACCAAAGTCAAGCTTAAGGAAACACATTGGGGAGAAATACCTGGAACTCACATCAAGTAAAAAAGGCCAATTTCCTTAGTACATCAAGGGCTTCCAGAGTTAAATAAGGACTATAATGACGGGGTGGGAGGGGGGGGTGGGGGGGTGGATCTCCTTGTTAGCACAAGGGGTTAAGTCTCAGCTCTGTGAAGCTTTAAGTAGCAACTGAGCTGACCCAAGTGGTGTTCAGACCTCTCCAGACCTGCCCACTGCTCCCCTCAGCAGTTATTTTAGTCAGTCGGCTTGTTCTGCTCCCCACTCTGTCTCTGGTGAATCCTCTCACTGCCCCTGCACAGCCCCAGTTCTGTATGTATAAAGAACTTTTTTTTTTTTTTGATGCTTCTTTGAAAGGTAAGCGCATGTGGCTCAAGAACACTTAAAGCTACAACAGATACCACCCCAGAAATGTCCCCACTTGCCACCTTGCCTGACTTAGTCATAATTACGTCAGGGTCTAGCCCTCATTCTAGCCAATGCCACCAGTTACACGCCGCAAATGGAGTCTCATCACCCCACTTCCTATGGCTGATCTGCGCTAGACAGAGCCAGAAGCCAAATTGCAGCACAGAGTCCACAGAGTGGCGCCCTGGCACACCTCTGGCCAGAGCACCCTGCCACAGTGGCCTGGCTCCCGCCTCAACAGCAAGAGACCCCTGCGTCGTCCTTTACCTCCCGCTTTGGAAAAACTCACCCTCCTTTAAGGCCTCACTGAAATGCCACCTTATCTGCAAAACCCTACTGGACTTCTCAAGCCCATTTTCTCTCTCAACTCCCAGACGTTACAACATTAATGAGCAGGAAACGAATCCGAGTACATTTTGACCGTTAACATGGCACAGAAGAATGAGCCCAGATCGTGCAGAGAGATCTGACTAACAGCGACAAGGCCGGCTCCCAGCCTTCCCTGTCCTCAGCTTCACGTGTGAAATAGAGAGGGCTCAGGCACACCGCATGCTGGATGAGCCTCTGCCGCCCAGGCCAAACCAGCTGCGTGACTGTGGCCCAATGACACACCCTGGTGAGCCCAAAGCAGTTCAAGTGATGCTTCTAACACTGTTTCATTGTTGAGGAGAACATCAGATGAAGACACTAGGGAAGT